TAGGTAAATACTAGCCATCAGACATGTCCCATCTATGTTCTTGGACAGTTCAGTGCTCAAGATGCTAAGAGAGGCCAGGAAAGCACTTAATTCTGTCTCTGATTTGCAGCACCTGCTTGCTGCCTACTTTGTACTTGTTCATGGGCCTGCTGCTCCATGCCAGGACAACTGTACCTAATCAGAGCCTAGCTAGAAGTTTTGCCAACCTGTACAATCCAGATAACCTTGTGAAATTGTCTGAAGAGCTTTTTTTTTTTTTTAATGGAGAACTTCTGGATATTTTTGAGATATATCTGAAAATTTTGACAACCATCTAAAACCTAATATTGTATTCCTCATTAGGAATAATTGAAATTATCTTGGAAAATAATTGAAATTAATCTTGGAACCTCAGACAAATGTTTTCATAGGTTGTTTTTTTTTTTTTCTTTTGGTGGTTTTTTTTTTTTTTTTTTTACTCTTAGATAGTATAAGATAAAGCAAAAAGTTATTATCAGGGACTGGAGTTCAACCAAATTCAAGTTAATACCTGTTTATTCGTAAGCAAGTTCTTAAGAGCACTGATTCTCATTTTCCTATCTGCAAAACATGGGTTATTATTCATACTTAATAGGATTATTTTGAGCAGCAAATGAGGTAATGATTCTGAGAAAGAAAGAACAATCTAATGCATGGCATGTTGTAAGTTCTTAATGAATTTTTATTCTTTTTCTTGAATACCAAGAATAGTCTCATTTCTAGACCTTTCTTCCTTAGAATGTCTTTGCTTTTCTGGTCCCTTTCTCTCTTTCAAGGCCTCTGTCCAAGTCTTTCCTCCTTGAGCTGCCAAAGCCTTCAGTGATTTTCCTGTTCTCTGGAACTTTATTGCATACACTGTGTCTATTGACGTATCCCAAAGGTTTTATGTAGAGGGAGGATTTTGTCTCCTCAACTGGCATATAAATTCATCAAAATTAAGAATTATGTGTTCTATTCCTTTGTGTTCCCAGAGTTGAACTGATGCCCACCACACAGCAGATACTCAGTAATTGTTGATGCTGTTTCAAACCACCAAACAATCATATTACTCAGTCAACTACCAAATAACTCAGTAGAACAAACATTTCTTGTTTGCATCAAGGAAATAATTTCCTTCATACTCATGCTTCTGAGACCACTTCATTCCAACATCAGTACTATACTTTTTCCTCATGTGCTTGACCTACATGAGTTTGCATTTCACCTTAGAGAACGATGTGGGCTCTTCAGACTTTCCAGATTGAAGAAGCTTTATTCTACAGCTTGTTCTTACCTGGAAGCTCTCTGGGACCTTTGATCTTTTCCCTTTTCTTTTAGCATATGGAGAGGATCTGAGGGTTTTGCTTTTCTTGAGGTTAAAAAAATACCAGGTTTGTTTGCATGTGGGTAAAATAAATATCTTCTGATTTTTCTCTGCCATCTTTCTCATGAAGCCCAGATCCTTTTGTACCATTTCATTGGGTTACAGAAGAGCCAGAGAGCTAATATTTCAGAGACTTTGATAGTCTTTATTCATTATTTTATTAATTCCTTCTTTTTATACTCATATATAAGGCTTGAGTAGTGTTGTGCTGAATAAATTAAGAACATGGCATGGATCTTGTCTTCCATGTGCCTCTGAGAATAATAGCTGACGTTTGTCAACTCCTACAATATTCCAGGCCGTTTGCTGAAAATTCACACATATTATCTTATTCAATCTTCATTCACTCTAAGATATAGATTTTATTATTTCCATTTTATAGATGAAAAAACTGAAAATCATCAAGTTAGTACTATTTACCAAGGTCACATAGCTTAATAGTCTTGTAGAGCAGATGAGACTTATATCCAATGGCGGGAGAATGGAAGTCAATAGAGAGTTTTTGTTTTATTTTGTTTTTTACTTTAGGATCCACTATTGGTTTTGTACATTTTTATGGGTTTTAACAAATGAATAATGGCATGTACCCATCATTACAGTATCATACAGAATAGTCTTACTACTCTAAAACTTTTGTACTCTACCTATTCATCTTCCCCTCCTCACTAATTCCTGGTAACCACTGATCTTTAACTGACTCTATAGTTTTGTCTTTTTCAGAATATTCTATATTTACAATCATGCAGTACATAGCCTTTTCAGATTGGCTTCTTTCACTTGGTAATATGCCTTTAAGATTCCTCCATGTCTTTTCATGGCTTCATAGCTCATTTCTTTTCAGCACTAAGAGTCCAATGCAAGTGCAGAAGCCCAAAATCAGCGACCTGATTCAGGCCTTGATGGTGGTGATATTTTGATGGATGGACACAAATGGAGAGACAGTCTTGGTAGAGAGAACAAAGGAGGCAGTTATGTTTTAAATGCTTGCCAGGCTGACTGCTGGGTGTTTTCACATGTTTTCTTACTTAAACTTCGCAGTCATCTGGAACACTCCAATAGCAATATTATGCCATATTTTCATACAGATGAAAACTAATGCTCAGAAAGAGTATATACTATCTCCAAATTCACAAAGCTAGATAAGTCACAATTTGAACTGAATCTGACTCCCAAGTCTGTGCTCTCTGTCTCATCCTACCAGGCTCTAGTCAAGGGCAAAAAGATTAGAGAAAACAGTTGGCTAAAGCATAAGACATGGAAAGGATATGTGTGGCAATAAAGCTTGGCAAGGAGGTTGGAGCCAGGCCATGGAAGGTCTGTTGGGAGGGTAGTTCAGAGCACTGGGGTAGTGAGCGTGAAGTAATTAAATATGGAGGATGAAGGGAAAAGTGGAAGGGCAAGGAAGAAGAAGAAAGAAGGAACGTCTTACTTTATTTTACAACATTGCCTAGGCTTGATGGTATTAATGCCAGGAAGAAAACTTCTGAGAATATGTAAATGTCCAATACTGGTCAGTCTTGAGGAAAAGGGACAGGAAACAGAAACCTGAGTCTGGAGTTCTGTTAGATCTACTCTAGAGAGGAAGCCATGTGTGCTTTCCTTGTTGCCTCTCAGCATTACAGTCTCAGAGAATGTCCTCTTGGTTACAACCACCCCTACTTCATTGGGGTACTTCAAAACATTTAGAATTTCCTTTGATTTGCAGAAGTTTGGAACTTTTGCAGAGTCAGTCAAATAATTAAATCATGAGGGCTTTTGATGTAAATTTGGACGAAGAGCCTTTGTGTTTTTTCTTTTATTAAAATTGACTTAGCATTGAACTTTTAAAATCCAAATCATGGACAGTTAATGCTGAAAGAAATGCCTGTGATCTTCTGGTGATTTTTAAAGATGGAAAAACTGACTTCTAGGGAAGTTATGAAACTTGCCTGGGATGACACTGTACTTGCCCCACTAACATTAAAACCCAGGTTGCTGTGTGCTGAGTCCTGTGCTCTGTGCTCTTCCACAGCCTGCTTCTGATTTTAATCATGTGGTCACTCATGGTAGGACAAACCAGCTAGAGAGCAGTGAGGCGGGGGGGGGGGGGCATTTATTTACCCAGGGAATTACGGTGATAATGTAGTATGCCCTTTGAGAGGCCGTCTTCCAGAACACTGCCTTAACCACGAAGGATACTAATTAAGCTATCACAAACAGTTCACGGAGGGGACGGAACCACAGACTCTCAAATTATCCCAGGTCAACACCTCTCGCTTTGTGTTTACCACTGGCAGGCCTCAGAAAGACTCTCCCTTCTTCCTACACTTCCTGTTAGTTTCAGCTTGGTAAGGCTTGTGATGTGACTTAGAAGGGAAGTGGGGGATTCCTCATGTGTGTGGGCAGCCACCAGTGGAATCTGTGTGACTGCAGCCAGTCCTGTGCCAGGAGAGTGGGAAGCAGGGAATACACACCCCAGGGTACGAAAACAAATCCCTTCCCATGCCTTTGAGCAAAATGCCTTGCCAAAAATCATCTGTGAGAAGAGATGTTGTTCTTGGCAGGAACAATCGTTGGTGTTTTTTGTTTTTCTTTTTCCTTTCCTTTTTTTTTTTTTTTCCTTTTTTTTTTTTTTTCCTTTTTTTTTTTTTTTCCTTTTTTTTTTTTTAGCAGGTAACACAGGCATATGGTACATTTTAAAATATATTTAAAAAGTAGACCATGAAAAGTAAGTGTTGCCCCATTCCTGACCTCAGGCTTCCAATTCCATTTTCCAGAGGCAATATTTATGACCTATTTTCTGAGAATTCTTTCAGATATATTCAATGCCCATACAAGCATAATTAATGTTTCTTTAATGTGCATGGTAATATATTTTATACATGATTCTGCTCCCCCTTTTTTTTCTACTTCGTGTATTTTGGAGATTGCTCCATATTGAGCTGCTTTGTTCTGTTAAATGTCATATTACTATAGACATTTTATTTATTCAGGCTTCTTTTCTTCATTATGTTACCTCTCTCTTGCTGTCGAGTACTCGCTTGGTTCAAGTTAGGTTTTTCAAGCCATTAAACAAAAGAGAAAAAGCCAATGTTAGAAATGTATGCACTCAAATCTACTGAATTCTTAAGGATTAGACCAGTTTCTATGGCCCATATGAACTGAAGACAGGACAATCTTACTCCTGTGTTGCAGTAAAAGAACAAGTAGCCAGAAAGCTTCCATAATTCACTCCTAGTGCGTTCTGGGAGTTTGTGGCCATGGTGTATTGATTGGTCACAGTCTTCTGCATGAGGGAATCTGTATGACTGAATGGATTTCTCAAGATGACTATTAAATGCGGTTATCCAAAATGGGAAAGTGGGGTTCAGAGAGCCAAAACAATACACTAAAGACGAGTTTGGTAGAGCTAAGGACAGATCTTAGATGCTTGCATGACAGAATACTCCTGGCTCATCTGAGATGTTTTAGAAAAGCAAGGGAGCAGGTATAAGTCTGGGTCTAATCTTCACAGAAAAAATGGTCTCTTGTAAAGTCATTCCTTCTATAGCTCCTGCATTTCTGCTTCATAGGATATGAGTTGACAATTTCATTTGTTCATTTTTTTTCCCCTAAAAATATATCCTTTTTCCTCCATCAGGTGCCACCTCAGTATCCTCCAATTCAAAGTATCAAAGTACAATTTACCAGTAAGTATTGTTCAATTGATTCATGTTTGTCTTTTCTCTTTTTTTAAAATGTTTATCCATTCATTCTGAGAGAGAGAGTGAGCAGGGGAGGGGCAGAGAGAGGGAGACAGAGAGTCCTAAACAGGCTCCACACTGCCAGCGTGGAGACCTTCGCAGGGCTCAGTCTCATGAACTGTGAGATCATGACCTGAGCCAAAATCAAGACTTAGAAGCTTAACTGACTGGGTTACCCAGGTGTCTCTGATTCATGCTTTTAAAAGAATCTCCTTTCTAGTCTCTTAATTTCTTCCAGAAAACAGGATCTCTCCCTATCCTTTGGTAAGTATGAAATCCTGTAATTGTTAGAGACTGCATGCTGTTTTCATTAGGGACAAAGAAAATTTATAAAGAAGAAAAGAGTAATTCATTACTAAATATATGCTAGTCACTGTATTAATCACTTTATACGCCTCTCACGAACCCTCTGAGTAAGAATTATTCTCATTTTTTTAGGTAAGAAAACTAAGGCTTTACTTCTTACAAGGGTGACTTTCTGACACATCATTTCCCACTAAATTGATTCTAAGACAAGATTCTGTCTTAATGAGAGCTGGGGGAGTTCCCAGATATGAAGGCAAGGTGATCCTCCAACTGTCAGGAGAGTATTATTTGGATCCATGATTAACATTAGGACAATCACCAGTAGTTCCTAGATGGATTTTCATTTGTTAATTAATAAGTTCTTCTGAGCCTGAAGGGAAGTGTATCTTGTCCTCCAAAAGTGGTTCTCATTTTCAATTCAGAGTATACCATCTGGGCCTGATGCAAAGCAAGAATTACATGAATTGTGCCCAAGAGTGGGGACTATTTTTCCTATGACTAAGGGACATGGACCACAGTGGTGTATCTGAGATGTGGTTGCCCAATCCATTCAGGATGATATTGTGGCTGAGGTAGAAAGAAAAGAAATTTAGTCTTTTTGCCTTACACTTGGAATGGCCCTACACAAAGCTATCCATCTGTGTCCTCCCCATTCCCTTATCTTCTTTCTCCTGTGGTAGTAACCCCTCCGAAAGCACTTTCTGGGAAAAACTAGCAAAAAAAAAAAAAAGAGTAAAATGTAGAAACAAGTCTATGTTCTTGAACTCTTCCACTTGCATCTTATTGAGTAGAACTGAGCCCACAGACATTCTTGGCATAATGGCATTATTGAGCTTAAGTGCTAGCAAAGGTCAGTAGTAAATGCTGTTGATAAATCCAATGCCCGGGGCATGTGGTAAATTTACATTTCACAGTCAGGTGGAGAGAGGATAGGGCAGTGTTAAGAGAAATTGTTTTGTGTGAAGGTGGTGTGCAGGGCCAGGGCAGGGGGCACTCCTGCTACCCTTTGCCCTCATCTATCCATTGAAAAAAAAATGGAGGCAGTGAAGTGGTAACACCTCCTGGTTTTTAAAAAATCAGGGAAACTTCGAAGTTCCATTTCCTGCCACTGGTCTGTTGTGACCACTGCCAATTGCTCTAACCTCTTAGTTTTTGCATCCCAAACCCATTCTGAAATGCTCTCGGCCGCTAGTATTAGCTTTGCCTCTTCTTCCATTCCCCAGGTGAAGCCGACTCCAACCCTAATGTGGAAACACAATACTCTTTTCTTTATTCTTTTCAAAATCTTTCCCTATCATGTTCTCTTCATGTTTTTAGATGTATTGGAAGATTGTTGGCCAATGCTGTGCTTAGAAATCATTCTTTTTTTTCCTTCTTGCCCTCCCCTCCTTAGAGTGTGGGAATGGGACAGGTTGCATCATCACATCTCCAGACAGCGATGAAACTATGAAGGTGCAAGACAACTCAATCATCATCAACTGTGATGGGTTTTATCTCATCTCCCTGAAGGGCTACTTCTCTGAGGAGCTCAGCCTCAGCCTTTATTACCGGAAGGGTCGGAAACCTCTCTTCTCCCTGAGCAAGGTCAAATCTGTCGACTCCATTGGAGTGGCTTATCTGGCTTTCAAGGACAAAGTCTACTTTAACGTGACCACTCACAATACCTCCTACAAAGACATCCAGGTGAATGGTGGGGAATTGATTCTCATTCTTCAAACTCCTGGTGGATTCTGTGCCTATTGAGGATCTGAGGGCTGCACCTAAGCCAGGCACAAGCAAGAACACTGAACTGGGGTTGAACAGGACTCTGATTCTTCCTTGGGAGTGGAGAAGTCGTCCTAGCTTAGCCCCCATATATGGCCACACGGGATGTGACCAGAAGCAGATCCCCTAACTCAGGGATATTTAAAACTTATTATACAAATGAATTAACTTTATTTATCTTCACATCTTCTAAATCACCTATCCCTCATCCTCGTTGCCTCAAGCCTGGTTGCCTCAAGCCTACTAGTTACCTCTACAAAATGAGAAAATAGGTGCCTCTTCCTTAAGGCACATTGTTTCTATTGGTCAGGAAATTGTCCTAATAAACTTTCTTTATCAAAAAAGACACTTGACTACCATTGGCTGGAAATTTGACATCTGGCTTTATCAGAATGAAGAGGACCAAGGAAGGGGCCATGAATCTGCCAAAGGTGGTATGGACCAACCCTTGGCAGTCAGAACTGTCTCTCCAAGATGAAATTAGTTTCTGTTTGCATAGTACCTAAATACTTCTCTCAGTTGGTGGAGTTCAAAATGAAAATCATCTTGAGAACAGCTGTCAAGACTTGAAGACAGCCAGCTAAAGAATACACTGTGCTCTGGGCTTTTTTTTTTTTTTTTCCTTTACCACTTTGCTTTTCCAGCCTCCAATGTAATTAATAGAGATGCCCCATCAAAGATGCTATGAAAAATCTAAACAGTGAATTCAGGAAAACTGAAAGAGATTTTTCTAAACTTGGGAGAGTGAGATAATTTATTGTGAGGGTTATCTTTATTGCATAGGAGAGCAGTGAAACTGGACATCTCAGGGTAAAAGTCAGTAAGAATTTAAATAGTCTGGGAAGGAAAAGACATGCTTTGTCACTGTTAGGCAAAACAACCCATGTGCATTCTCCTGTTTATGCTGAATACACAATCAGCCCCATTCCTTGTGCATGTATACCACACTGCTAGTTTAAAAAATGAAGCAGTTCTTTTTTAAATGCAATTTTATGTCGAGACATTGAGAAACTATTATGTGAAAAATACTGACATCTGTCTACAAACACCCCCATCATATCATATATGATCTCACACTGATAATTGAGACTAGGATGACCAATAATCAGCCAACACCAGTAAGGGAAAAGATTCCCTTATTTTTAATTTAAATATACCTCTTGATGCATCAGGCTTGTGGCACTGTGGACAAATTTCCAGATGATTTGTAAGTTCTCAAATTTTTGATAATTTTTTTAAATGGCAGTGAATGTTTTCCTTCCATTTTAAGTGAAGTGTATAACATAACAGAATCTTTCTGGATTCTGTGTCATCACAGTGATTGTACTATGCTGCAGTACGGTGATATCTTCAGGATCTCCAAGAAGGTGGAAGGCAGTGTTCCCTACACTAAATGGTCTCAATTACATTTGGATTTTTTTCTATCTATTTAACACAGTTTTCCATGTGTTTTATCTATGTCCAACTACATTCCTGCCCCTCTATTTTAATCTGTTATGGAGAGAAGCTAAACAAAGATGCATCAAAGAAAGAAGTTAAATAAGAGAAATTGTGCATAAGAGTAACCAAACTGAGTGGCTGCCAAGGCACTCACAGAATCATGATCATGATCATAATCATAGGTAAACATTAGTGGAGAGTCTGCTATGGACCAGGCATTGGGCTAAATGCTTTACATGAATTTTTCTGAGCAAGATACTCTGTGACGTTTGTCTTGACTACTCAGAAGATTTAAATCTCGTGTGTGTGTGTGTGTGTGTGTGTGTGTGTGTGTGTGTGTATTTCTTTGTTATTGACTATGGTTTGCAAAGTTGAAGTTACTCAATGGGTGATATCTAATAAGTAAATGTTTATGACTTAGATAATATTTAAGAAAATATATATTTACTTTTAGAAGCTTGGAATTTCTAACTATATTTCTCCTGGACATGCACATTCCAGGCCTAAGCATAATTGTTGTGTGGATCATCTGTCTTTGAGTCATGGTCCTTCCTCACAGATGCCCACTCCCTTTGGGTACACATGGCTTGCTCTTCCCATGCTGTCCTCCTTTGGCCATGCAGGGATTTTATTTTGTCATGTACCAGCTTCACCCCCTCTCCCACTTCTACCCATCAAAATATGTTTGTCCTCTTTAAGTCATTCCTTCAGAAAGATAATTAACCCTTCTCCGGAGACAACAAAGTTTTGTGGAAAGAAAGCTGAATGAGAAATCAGGAGATTGAAAATCTAATTTGATTCTGTCACTAACTAGCTAAGTGACCTTAAACATGTAATTTCCCATTTTTTGACTCCTGTTTTCCTTTCTTGTTAGATGATCATTTTAGAATCTTATAGTGCTAACTGTGAATGTATGTACTAAATGTCTATGTACTGGTTGCTGTGAGTTAAGATGTATAGTCTTCTCTTATACTATGTGGAATTTTTTTTCTTAGACAAACTAACATTTTCCCTCATCTTTCTTGAGGATTCTTTCAAAAAGCAGTTGCAATTGTTACTTCATAACTTTCTATGTAGGGGATGGCTTAAGGAATTCCAATCTTGATCCAAATCGTTATTTGTTAAGCACACTGGGCAGGTCCCCTGTTTTAAGACATAATTTTGTAGTTAGTGCTTTTATGGCTCTCAGGAAGTATTAATATTGATTTTAATAATATAGCTAATAATAATATTGATATTTACATGGAAACAAATAAAAGATTTCAGAATTCACTACTGGTTAAAGTGCTGCAATTTTTATTCATCTTTCCCTTCCTTTCTTTGTTACGATCAGCTAATTCCCTGATGAGGGAAGGATGGGGGAGATCTTCCAGTTTCCTATGTGCTTCCAATTTCAGCCATCAGAACTATGTCTGGGGATACAACTACCTGAAGTCCATCTTTGTTTTTGAAAAGACATTCACTAGAAGTCGTTAGGGTTCCTCTTCATAGTTCAAGAGACTGATTCAAATATGATTCTACTATGCACTGCTCTTCTTTCCCTCAGGAATTCTTGCCTCATTTTTCAACCTGGGATAATCTCTTTGAGTAGTATGTCCCCTCTCCTTAGTAGTAATTACATCCTAAACCTTACTACTCTCCTTATCTGTAAAATGGAGATATTAATACATACCTTCTGGGTTTTTGTGACCACGAGAGGACCTGGCATATTGTCTGAAACATGGTTGGCCTCAATACCTAATAATTATTAATTTACAAAAATCACTTTAAGTGCCAAAGGAATAAAGGAATTATGGGGGGGGGTTAGAATGGAGAGACCACTGAAGCATAATGGAAGAGCCTTATAGGATTTAGACTGGAGAAGAAGGAAGGAGAACATAGCTGGGGAAGAACAGTGTGTACAAAGGCAAAGGGGTTGAAATTCTCATGGTGTTTTCTGGAAACAAGGAGCTACCACTATGGTAATGGCACTCATTCATTCATTTCTTTATTTGAGCATAATCTATTTTTCCAAGACAGGAATTTGTGTTTGGTCATGGTTGGAGATAGGATTAATGGGTAGTTTTAGGATAAAATATTGGAGGTGTAAAGACAAAGCTGAGAATTTTGGACCTTGTCTTACAAAAGGAAACACTGAAGGTTTTTGAATGAGAAGAATTTATCATGGTTTTGGAAAAACTCTAAGTTCTTGTCAATATCACTTTTCATTTTGACCCAATTCATAGGAGTATCTTACTTTCTGCCAGTTGAACAAAAGCTTCAGATTACTTTTACTAGGAAAAAAAATGAGAAAAAGAAATGTCATAATTGCCACATTTTTAATACTTTTGGGAAAAGACATATAGAAAGCTTCTTATTAAATTCAAAATAAATGTTTAATAAAGGCTACATTAGGTCATTTAAAAATATTAAATATTTTCCAAAAAGTATTTAAAAAATATGAACCTGAGATGTTATGAGCACTAAAAAATAATCCCTGGGATTTCAATCACTCTGCACAGTTATTTCTTTGTTTATGTCTTAAATATACCCTGTTTCTAAAATTAAATTTTTTGGCAGTGCTTTGGAATTGCCTTCTTTTTTCTTCCTTCCTTCCTTCCTTCCTTCCTTCCTTCCTTCCTTCCTTCCTTCCTTCCTTCCTTCCTTCCCAACTATCTATCCTTCCTTCCTTTCTTCCTTCCTATCCATCTATCCATCCATACATCCATCTATGCATCATTTTCTTTTCCTGGTAGTAGCCTCACTCATAGAGTATGTAGGTGACTTGAAACCTCTCCCTAGTGTTCTAGTAACTAGCCATAGTGGCTGTCATAGTCATTCATTCAATCTGTGATCCATGGGATCAAGACATAAAAGGATATTGGTAAAATTTAAATGTAATTATTACTTAGGAGAACTGACACATGAAGCTTATTAATGCTTTACCACCACCACTCCCCACCCACCTCCAACAAAAAGCTGGTTAGATGGTTCTCTTCAATCTTGAAGGCATGGGATGTAAGGTCCTTTGGCTAAGTCTGACTGGTGCCATGGGAGACAATTAAGGCAGCATTCTATCTGGAAGCAGGCAAGGAGTTGACATGGGAAAAGGATGCTAAGAATCTGGGGTATTCCAGCTTTCTGCCACAGTCCTTGAGAATTCTGAAGCCATTGTGCATGAGCACAGTTAAACATGGTCCTGACCATCATTTTGGTTAATGGAACTGGTTGACTTTGTTTACCTTTTCATGGTCCATCTGTGGGAGAAAACAGGAATTTTTAGAGCTGAAACACAGAATTTCAGCATTTGGGTTTCCCTGGAGTCATGTCAAAGCTGAGAAAATACTTTTACTTTCATATACACTCTCTTTATTGCTGATGTATATAAAAGACCTTTCATTTTCCTACTGATTATGCTCTTTTGACCTTTGGTTTTTGAGGTTTGAGGTTAAAAGAAGAACAATAACAAAATAAAAAAGTAATCAACAAGACTTGATATTGTAGAAATATAAGCAGGAAGTAATTTCTAAAGGTCATTTCAGTCTAGCTGTCTACTTTTATTTAGGGTGTACTATTTATTAATAAGAACATATGTCACCTTAGAGATTTTTAGAATATGATAATCTGTATCTTCCCCTTATAATGAATTTTAATAAGTAACATTCTATAATCCTATGACCATTCCTTAAGGCAACTTGAACCGTTCAATTTATAAAATATCTTCATTATTATGAATCAAGAAATAGTCAAGCAGTCAAACTAAATTTGTTCTACCCCTATTTTACATCAGACATTTTGCTAGGCATTTCAGGATATATTTTTCCTCATTAGAAATGAAAATGAGC